ATCGAATGCGAGGACAGATAATCCACAATGCCCTTGCAAAAACTGAGCAGCAAAACGTGAGGCAAACATCAAAACGTTTGTGCTGAGGGAGAATATCGGCGTCAAGGGCTGATTACCTAGGAGATTTTCGCTGGCTATCAAAACAAGGTTACCCGGGTTCATAAAAAAATGTACATAGTCCGTGATGAGTGTTCGAGTATTGCAGCTCTTACTGATTCTAAGAAACTAGTCAAAAGACGTGCTGCTGCGTGATATTCATTAGAGTCAAATCATCCAGTAGAAGACATGCGTATTTCCAGATCACTAACAAATCCATGGATAAACGGTCACGAATTCCCGACAATCGATTTGTAGCCACAGCCGAACTCGAAATGTCGAGATTAGGCCCAAAGTGTTACATCGAATGTTCTACAAAAGCCCCAATGCGAAAAAGCTTAGTTCAGTCTGGTTTGTGTACCTAACGAATGAATGTCGACAAGAGAACGAGGAAAGATGACTTATGCTGAGAGAAAGATTATAATAATGCCGAAGCACATGAACGGTGGAGGCTATTTAGACCAGCTCACGTTCGAAACAACCAGGCCATGCGGGTCTACTAATTCATGGTTATATGGATTTTTCAAGATTCATGAAACAAACGTACCTCAAAAACCAATTATTTAAATGACAAACTCGCCTCATCATGGAACAGTCCGAGTGGCTCGCAGATAAGCTGCAACCCATGCACAGAATTCTCGTAGATTCACTTGAAACATTGGTTGTATTTGGTGTACGATACGGGTGCGCTTGTGAGATCCTAAAAAAACAAATGCAAAACAGTTGATTGTCACCCACAAAATACTTCAGCTGTCAATCGGGAAAAACACTAATATTTCTACTAGACTAACCCCCGATAATACCAACTATTCTCATGTGACTCATTGAAACGGAGTCCTTTCGAGAAACAAATGGCATCAGTTGTATTATTTATTAGCGATTTAAACTGATGCCAAGAATCCATGATCGGTTGAGAAGGGTAGTGTTCTTCGTGGGGAATCGCTACAATCGAGTTGAAACAAAATCTGCTTTGACTGAATTGGAGCATCAATAATCTAAAATTCATCACATTGACAGCTCACGATACAGAAATGACGCGTGTTATTCACCCATAAAGTGTCACTCAAACTTTTGATGTCAAAATCTGATATGCTTGTCACGAGGATTTGAATTCATAAATGGGTTTCCAAAGTTATCATGTCTGACTATCGAAGACCCGATCGTGTTGTCACGAGGGCAGACGCGATGCGCGTGATATTCATGATTTCACAAGGACACACAAGAGCACACATACCAGTTCCAAGTACACATACACTTATTACCCATTTCTAATCACTCACACTTATCACGCTATATCAGTTAGTGAAGCAGTACCCACAACGTTGTATTCATTCGTTAGGTACACAAACCGGACTGAACTAAGATTTTTCGCATTGGGGATTTGTAAAATATTTGAAGTAACACTTTGGGCCCAATCTTGACGTTTTGAATGGATTCCACTTTACTAAAGAAAGGCAGAAAACGACTTGTAGAGGAGCGCGCTCAAAGTATCATTATTGATTTTCGGAATTGTGCGAGTACTTATGTTCTATTCAACGAATTTGCACATGGAATTATTCCAAAATCGCCCATCCATTTGTGCTTTATTAAGAATCTTGCGATTCCCAATACCCGAAACTTCCCCGGAATTGTTTTTCTCAAAGCTGCAACTCGAGCCTTTTCCAAGGTTTATCAGAAAGTCCCAATAAGCGCTGTATGACTAGTGATTTGTGAATGTAGTTTTTCTTCGAAATATTCCCCCTTCTTCTAGAGTCCTCACAATATCCCTAACTTATTCGTCCATGTGTCACGGAACACTTTAACATGCGTGATTTCATATTCTCACTCCACAGTAGTAGGAAGGTTTAATAAATTTCACGATACTGTTCCCTAATTTGGATTCTTGTGAGCTTCGTTTATTTTTATCCTTGTTTTCAGCTTGTACCTTTGTGTCAGTATTGCCTCACTATTGCTGATTTGCAAAAGGAACTCTCACTCTCGGAATAGAAGTGAATGGTACTACTGAATTGAGCTTTCTTAATTAACGGCTAGTTTTATCATGCGGAATAAAATCTCAATGGCATTATTATCAATACTGGCTCTGGTAGTAGTTCAGAATAGCGTAGAAAATCAGAGCGAACGACTCGACAACGACGACATTTACAGAATTAGCAGTTTTTTCCCCAAGACAGTCCGTTTCATGTCATTCAGGAACATGATTTTGTAGGGCCTGGTAACGTTCTCATTACTTGCCTACTGAAATCGGAATAGTTCAAAGCGGTTTGGGCTTTTTAATCAGAAGGAAGAAACATTACTTATTCAACTACACTCCTGGTGGATCTTTCCGTTCGAAACGGTATTGCGGTATGACAATTTCATTTGCGGTTTTATGGTTTAGGTAAACAAATGACGGGTACATAATAGTCTTCCAAAGTTGATGGGAGAAAGAGTGATGAGTGGCCTGGTTTCTGTCCATTTGTCGGCCGAAGACAAGCAAAGGCGATTTCACGTTTGTTCGAAAACTGTTTATTAGTCTTTTGACGGGCAATACTGTTCGGTTGCAGAGGTTCATTCAAACATTGCCGCGGAATAAAATTTGCAGAGTATTCCAAATTGGTACTAGTCAAGCCAACTCACCGTGTAGTACCGATACAGACAAACTGATATATCGATGAAGGCAAAGCATCATTCAAATTTCTATTGCGACTTAATATTCCATTAGTCAAAAAGTGCAAATAATAATGCGTGCCTGCAAATCACGATATATGTACATCAAGTAAAACCCAGAAGTTGTGGGTAAATAAAAAAACATTTTGATTGAGTTGTGTAATTGTCATTGTGATACCAAATAAAACTTGTCGATTTGAAGCAGTGCCATTCAGCAGTCAACATGTGGATGTGATGAATACTTAAGTTTTACAATTAGTTATGACCGACATTGGTTGAGTTCCGGGTCAAGATGTCGGGCTGTTTCTGATTGCTTGGAAACTATTGAGTTGGTCAGCTGGCAAAACAGACAGAGGAGGAGTGCAGTGGTTACGATGTTAGTTTAACACTCGAATCAACTAATATTAGTCGTACTAACGTTTTTCATTTGTTTTTGATGGCTTTATTTGCAAAATAATAAAAAAGTCTACGAGTAACAGTAGGTTTCGGTGGTTGAGGGTTCTGTAGTAGATGATTCCATCAAGGCATGTTCAACACTTACATTTAATCTAATCGGCGATTGAAACCACTTCGAAACCGTTTCCAGATATCTCAATAAAGGCTTCAAAATATCTAAGTAGTTGTAGATGACACAGGTAAAAAGTTGATTTCATCCTATTTTCTTCGAAGATTTGAAATGTTCAAGGTCGAGAAAGTTGTGGACAGTATTTATCTTGTCTTCTGTTGATCAGATGTTTTGACTATTGGAGCCGTTACACCGAGTGATAATGTAGCGTGCGTGGAGAATGACTCCATGAGTTTTACTGGAACATTATTCGTCCCAACATGAATCTGGGTTCACGAAGATTCCTAAGACTGCAGTTTCCTTTGTTGTGAGTTTCATAGACGGGCCACGAGCCTTTCGACGATGGTACTTTTTCATTCCATCGATCACCAAGTTTTACTCCCTATCCAACGGGCAGCGGGAAACAGGTAGGTGAATAACACGACAGCCCTATCCTCGCCCTCATACTAACTTCGGATATCACATTTGACGGTTTGGCATTCGGTGCATTAGTAAAAGCAAGATACGTATTTCCCGGGCATTCAGAAGTTGTGACTCTACCCGCTGTGTTATTTGTTTAAGAAAAATTCCGAAAAGGAAATGTGTTGATAGGAAATAAAACTATGGAATAAAAATTCATATTCTGTGGAAAGTCACCGTGTTAACTTGCTGATTTCTAAACCTTATTGGTTCATTTTGGGAATTCGCTGGGCGATCAGTTTGATTGTATTTTCCGTTAATCTGCTCAGTGTTGAAGACATTTTGAAGACAGGGATGATGGCCGTTTGTACTGTGAAATATAACATTGGAACCAGCGACAACAGGTCCCCTGTGAGAAATGCAAACAGGGCTTTCCACATTAACTAGTAAACGTAATTAAATTCCGTTGTCTATCTATGAGTACGAATAAGCATAAAACATTTGAGTAAGTGTGGTCCTTGGTAATATGTTTTCCAAATCGTTAACCCTTTCGGTCAGAACATAACATCGGAGACCAGATCGTGGGGAAAAGAATAATTGAACTCGCTTCGAATCCGGTAAAATTCCATAGGAGTTTATGACGACTGTACATATTCCAACAGTATTTATTCACCGTGTCATTTCATTCCAAATTCCACTGTTTGCCTGAAAATTGAAGCATAATTGCAGGGCTTTTGGCACCTACAATATGAAAGCCTAGAATTTATGAAAAAGATATCAATCTGCTTTGTTACCGATGATACAAATCTCAGGAATGCTTATGAATGTGAGGGAATGTGCGCAGCACGTTGCTACAAGACGGCCGAGTTCAATGAAGCAGACGGAACGTAATCGGCTGACAAGAATCGCCGACAAGATCAGAGCCAGTTAGGTGATCAACGGGTTAGTCAGCGGTTTACATTCGACCAAAGCCGAATCCACCGATCCAGGCACAGCCCGATGAAACAGCCAAGTGGGCCGTTCAGGTCTATCAGTAGACCAAAGAGCTTCCATGCACCGTTTTGATTATGATGAGCGCATCTCATATAAAAACAATGTACTCTTTACCAATAAGACGAAAAATGATTCTGAGGCAGAATTGTGTTCTCACTAGAGCTAGTAGGACAGAACAAAACAACAGGTAAAGGGGAATGAGAATATAGCTATGCACGCAAATTGAAGCTACTCCATAAAATCTACTTACTCACTGATAGAGTTCCGTTTCTGTTCGCCGACTTTCAAGTAAATCTTCATTCTAGTTGATCTAAGGTGAACATTTTTTGAACAAAGCAAAATATTCATAAAAACGTTTTTGTTGGTTTGTTTTGTTGCCACTAGAACCGATATTTATGGTTTGTATCACTCTTTTGTTTGACTTTTTTGACAATATCAATGAGTAAATTCCCATTCACGAAGTACAAATCTCTTACTATAGTTTTCGAACTTTTTCCCAAGCAATTATCCATCAATATGAGTGCTTCCGGGGACCTTTTCATTATTTAGATAAAAGTCATCCCAATCGGTAAAATCATTTTTATACCGATGATCTTTAGCGTTTCATTGATCACCAATATTACCTTTTTAGGATGATCTAGACCCCTATACCTCATTGAAGTGGAGGTGGGCACCGATTTTCCATAAACGTAAATGGTAGATATCTTCCTTTGGGAATTAGATCTGCAGGTCAGCCTATAAACAGAAGCGGAGAATAATTAGTTTGACGGACATGCTAACGACGTGATAACAGTTCTAAACCAATAGAATTACACATAATGCAATGGCGTGCAATATAAGAGCGCTAGAATACGTCGTGCAAGACAAACAAAATGAAATCTATCATTTTACTGATATTGTTATTGTGCTTGGTGCATTCGCAGCAGGCAGGTAAGTGAAAATGAAATTGGTTTTGCACGCATGAAGACTCTCTGTAACAAATGGAATAGTGTTTCGAGGAAATGTCATTCACTCACATCAATATCACACACAGTGTTGATTGCTTTTCGTAATGTGAAAAGTTTTCGTGTGGTCAAATGAATGCTGCTTAGTAGTGAAGTTATCAGGTTTAGTGGTTTATAGTAAGGCAATTTCTCCTGATATCTTCTCGTTACGCAAACAGTACGAGGTAAGGAAAGTAGGCAAAGATTACTACTTATATAAAGCAAAAGATTTGTTCATTGTCATGAGCTGAGGAGTGAATATTGACACAATTACCGTGGTCCTTTCGAAACGTGAAGCTGAAGATTGACCACTAAAGACATCTACAAACAGGCTCAAAACAATGAGATTTTACCCTAATACAATAAAATAGAAATAATTGATTGCGGTTACCCAAAACACCATATCTTGTTTGCTTTTTTTCAAGAAAGGTGATGGTGCTTCGCCGAATTAGGAATAACTATGATTGGTAAAATCTTCTGGGATCATGACTTTCAATAGTCTTCTCGTAATTCAAATCACAGCTTCAAGGTGATAGGACGAAGTTGGAATTAAGTAGATCTTGCAAACTCACAAAAACTTTGTGGAGGGTTCAAGAAAAAGGAGGGGTGAATATAACATGGAAAATTGGCCGATGTGAACAATTTCAGACGACCTAATAATTACATGTGTACTATAATCCTGGAACGATGCATAAACTTGTTTGAAAAGTATGTTCTATTCTAATTACTCACAGCAAATGCGTAAGAACCACACAATTTTATATTGATGATAACCGGGCAATGGTGGCTTTGTTTCAAGGCAGGAACTGGTCAGCTGCTTGTACGAGCTTAATAAATACACTCAAAGTGCAGACAAAACCCATTTATAACGGGATATGAGCTTCGGAGGGAAAACGAGATGAGTTTTGCTTGCACTGAATTACCTGAAACATTATGAGCAAAACAACGTTCATATTAGTATTTACTTCAGAAGAATCAAACTATATACGTTGATCCGTTTATAGAGGTGCACAGGAAACCTAGTTTTGGTGGATTTTTCATAGTTATCGCGAGAATGATCGTAACGAAAATCAAGCGCACACAAATGACCTAGAATCCAAAGACAATACTGATGAAGACGAGAAATATATTTTTGATGTAACTGGTAGTCATCGTCAAACGGTTGCTTGAAAGAGAATATTCTGTTAAACAATAATCTTGAAAGGGTTTCTATTCAAAATATCAAATAAAGATAACCGTAAGATATACATTGAGAGAAAGAAAGTGCATGTACCAAATAACTCGCAGAGAAAAAAGTACGAATAAAAGCGAAGATTTGATATGGTCCCACTGAACAGTATACTCACGTTTCCGAAACTTCGTGAATTTTATTGCGAACTCCAAAGCTTGCGAGAAAAGCAGCCACAATGGAAACAAATACTCGTCCGCAACGTTCGAAAGATGGAACCGGATAAATGAAGATGGAATACTGTGGGAAATAACAAGTAAAAAAGTGATCTGACATAGTCAAAAGCAAAGGAAAAAGTGCAATGAATCGATAGATGAACGTAGGAGAATGAGCGAGTGAGCAACACGAAGGAACGTCGCGGAACAATACAGACGAAAGTAAGGACGGAAGAAAAATAGTAACCAAGTGAAAAAAAGAAAGTGTAAAAAGAGAGAGACCGGAAACAAACCTGGAAGAATGGAAAAAAACCAGAGGGAAAGGAAATCACATTTAGGATATAAAAAACCGAAAAAAGCATGGTGAACAAAGAGAAAAAAGGGCAGAAAGAAGGAATAATCCAACAAAAAAAAATGTAGAACGAATTAGGCGAGATTCAGATTGATTAGACTCTTCCACGTGAACGATACATGAATGAATAAGAAGTGATAATGATCCATGTGATTTACTACTCCCAATTCACAATGGTCAAATATGGACTGCTAATTGCTAACAACAATCCACATTAGACCAATTTGTTCTCATTTCATTTGATCACATTTCGAAACGAAGCACACAGAATGATGAAGCACAAAAGTCACACCTATCTCGCAATGGAACAGATACAGAAAATATAACGAAGCAAACTCAATTGTCCCATTTATCTAACTGGTCGCATTTGTGCACACATTATTCCAAAATTCAACTGTGCCAGTCGACAACGGAGAAAAGATTCGCTGTGATTTTATTATTATATATTCGCACTCCTCTCTACTCGAATACGAATATTATTATTGTATGCTTGTTCTCATTTGATTGGATCACTCGATCAGTGTACATTGTTCGTTTCTCATCTTTCCTAATTGTAGAGAAGGAGAAAATGGATGGCGGTGAGCTTTAATATTGATCTTGTTGCAGTTTGGCCTTGTTCATTTTTAGTCCACATGATTCACTTGACGGATAGTGTGGAACAATAAGGATCATGCTGCTATGTTCTCGTCCCAATTAGATTCGTCTGTTTGGCGCAACAACAAACAGTTCACATTTGACAATTTCAATGTGTGCAGTAGACGAACGCTTTTCCCAATCGGCTCATTTATACATACTGATTTGCTAACGCAGATAAACATGATCTGGTTGGACATTCTAATTGAAAATTCCGGACGATTTGTGGCCACTGACAATCAGTATCTCATATATTCCCATTAGTTAGATCTAAGCACTCGAATGATCTGAATATAGAAAGACAAATCAAATATTTCTCCTCTTGCGAACTATTCCAACTGAGCTGTAGAACTGAGTTTTCTGAGCAATAGCACATTCAATCATTCATTTATTTGTTGCCTATCAAACGATAATACAACATATAGAAAGTGAACATTCAACTGACCAATGAACAGTACATGCACACTATGTACACGCGTTTGATCTCACTCACCTGTTCGGAATAAGGAGAAGTGCATATCGATCAACTGCTAACTGGCATCCTAACACGAATTGAACGACTGTCAGTTTGATCGGCCTCTTCCACGTGAACGATACATGAATGAATAAGAAGTGATAATGATCCATGTGATTTACTACTCCCAATTCACAATGGTCAAATATGGACTGCTAATTGCTAACAACAATCCACATTAGACCAATTTGTTCTCATTTCATTTGATCACATTTCAAAACGAAACACACAGATTGATGAAGCACAAAAGTCACACCTATCTCGCAATGGAACAGATACAGAAAATATAACGAAGCAAACTCAATTGTCCCATTTATCTAACTGGTCGCATTTGTGCACACATTATTCCAAAATTCAACTGTGCCAGTCGACAAGGGGGAAAAGATTCGCTGTGATTTTATTATTACATATTCGCACTCCTCTCCACTCGAATACGAATATTATTATTGTATGCTTGTTCTCATTTGATTGGATCACTCGATCAGTGTACATTGTTCGTTTCTCATCTTTCCTAATTGTAGAGAAGGAGAAGATGGATGGCGGTGAGCTTTAATATTGATCTTGTTGCAGTTTGGCCTTGTTCATTTTTAGTCCACATGATTCACTTGACGGATAGTGTGGAACAATAAGGATCATGCTGCTATGTTTTCGTCCCAATTAGATTCGTCTGTTTGGCGCAACAACAAACAGTTCACATTTGACAATTTCACTGTGTGCAGTAGACGAACGCTTTTCCCACGCGGCTCCTTCATACATACTGATTTGCTAACGCAGATAAACACGATCCGGTTGGACATTCTAATTGAAAATTCCGGACGATTTGTGGCCACTGACAATCAGTATCTCATATATTCCCATTAGTTAGATCTAAGCACTCGAATGATCTGAATATAGAAAGACAAATCAAATATTTCTCCTCTTGCGAACTATTCCAACTGAGCTGTAGAACTGAGATTTCTGAGCAATAGCACATTCAATCATTCATTTATTTGTTGCCTATCAAACGATAATACAACATATAGAAAGTGAACATTCAACTGACCAATGAACAGTACATGCACACTATGTACACGCGTTTGATCTCACTCACCTGTTCGGAATAAGGAGAAGTGCATATCGATCAACTGCTAACTGGCATCCTAACACGAATTGAACGACTGTCAGTTTGATCGGCCTCTTCCACGTGAACGATACATGAATGAATAAGAAGTGATAATGATCCATGTGATTTACTAATCCCAATTCACAATGGTCAAATATGGACTGCTAATTGCTAACAACAATCCACATTAGACCAATTTGTTCTCATTTCATTTGATCACATTTCGAAACGAAACACACAGAATGATGAAGCACAAAAGTCACACCTATCTCGCAATGGAACAGATACAGAAAATATAACGAAGCAAACTCAATTGTCCCATTTATCTAACTGGTCGCATTTGTGCACACATTATTCCAAAATTCAACTGTGCCAGTCGACAACGGAGAAAAGATTCGCTGTGATATTATTATACATATTCGCACTCCTCTCCACTCGAATACGAATATTATTATTGTGTGCTTGTTCTCATTTGATTGGATCACTCGATCAGTGTACATTGTTCGTTTCTCATCTTTCCTAATTGTAGAGAAGGAGAAGATGGATGGCGGTGAGCTTTAATATTGATCTTGTTGCAGTTTGGCCTTGTTCATTTTTAGTCCACATGATTCACTTGACGGATAGTGTGGAACAATAAGAATCATGCTGCTATGTTTTCGTCCCAATTAGATTCGTCTGTTTGGCGCAACAACAAACAGTTCACATTTGACAATTTCAATGTGTGCAGTAGACGAACGCTTTTCCCAATCGGTTTCTTTATACATACTGATTTGCTAACGCAGATAAACACGATCCGGTTGGACATTCTAATTGAAAATTCCGGACGATTTGTGGCCACTGACAATCAGTATCTCATATATTCCCATCAGTTAGATCTAAGCACTCGAATGATCTGAATATAGAAAGACAAATCAAATATTTCTCCTCTTGCGAACTATTCCAACTGAGCTGTAGAACTGAGATTTCTGAGCAATAGCACATTCAATCATTCATTTATTTGTTGCCTATCAAACGATAATACAACATATAGAAAGTGAACATTCAACTGACCAATGAACAGTACATGCACACTATGTACACGCGTTTGATCTCACTCACCTGTTCGGAATAAGGAGAAGTGCATATCGATCAACTGCTAACTGGCATCCTAACACGAATTGAACGACTGTCAGTTTGATCGGCCTCTTCCGCGTGAACGATACATGAATGAATAAGAAGTGATAATGATCCATGTGATTTACTACTCCCAATTCACAATGGTCAAATATGGACTGCTAATTGCTAACAACAATCCACATTAGACCAATTTGTTCTCATTTCATTTGATCACATTTCGAAACGAAACACACAGAATGATGAAGCACAAAAGTCACACCTATCTCGCAATGGAACAGATACAGAAAATATAACGAAGCAAACTCAATTGTCCCATTTATCTAACTGGTCGCATTTGTGCACACATTATTCCAAAATTCAACTGTGCCAGTCGACAAGGGGGAAAAGATTCGCTGTGATTTGAATATTACATATTCGCACTCATCTCCACTCGAATACGAATATTATTATTGTATGCTTGTTCTCATTTGATTGGATCACTCGATCAGTGTACATTGTTCGTTTCTCATCTTTCCTAATTGTAGAGAACGAGAAAATGGATGGAGGTGAGCTTTAATATTGATCTTGTTGCAGTTTGGCCTTGTTCATTTTTAGTCCACATGATTCACTTGACGGATAGTGTGGAACAATAAGGATCATGCTGCTATGTTTTCGTCCCAATTAGATTCGTCTGTTTGGCGCAACAACAAACAGTTCACATTTGACTATTTCAATGTGTGCAGTAGACGAACGCTTTTCCCAATCGGCTCATTTATACATACTGATTTGCTAACGCAGATAAACGCGATACGGTTGGACATTCTAATTGAAAATTCCGGACGATTTGTGGCCACTGACAATCAGTATCTCATATATTCCCATTAGTTAGATCTAAGCACTCGAATGATCTGAATATAGAAAGACAAATCAAATATTTCTCCTCTTGCGAACTATTCCAACTGAGCTGTAGAACTGAGATTTCTGAGCAATAGCACATTCAATCATTCATTTATTTGTTGCCTATCAAACGATAATACAACATATAGAAAATGAACATTCAACTGACCAATGAACAGTACATGCACACTATGTACACGCGTTTGATCTCACTCACCTGTTCGGAATAAGGAGAAGTGCATATCGATCAACTGCTAACTGGCATCCTAACACGAATTGAACGACTGTCAGTTTGATCGGCCTCTTCCGCGTGAACGATACATGAATGAATAAGAAGTGATAATGATCCATGTGATTTACTAATCCCAATTCACAATGGTCAAATATGGACTGCTAATTGCTAACAACAATCCACATTAGACCAATTTGTTCTCATTTCATTTGATCACATTTCGAAACGAAACACACAGAATGATGAAGCACAAAAGTCACACCTATCTCGCAATGGAACAGATACAGAAAATATAA